AACCGCCTAAACGTCACGTTATAGCCTATATAATGTGTAAACTTTAGTATACTCTAATCCCTTACAGTGATGACATACGACGAGACACACATTCGGCATGTAATACTTTTTGAATACAAGAAGGGAAACAACGCCTCTGTAGCCACAAATAATATCAAAGAAGTTTATGGAAATGTTTTGAACGTTCGTAAGTGTCAACGATGATTCAGCAAATTTTGTTCAGGTGACTTTAGCCTTAAAAATTGTGATGGCAGGGACCGACATGTTGGAATTGATATTGATGCACTGAAGATGTTTGTTGAGTTTAACCCAAGGCAACACACTCGTGGAATGGCCCTGAAATTGCATTCTCTCATGAAAAAATACGTAAAAATCTAAGAAATGTGGGAAAACTCCATAAAGAAGGTGTTTGGGTGCCTCGCGAACTCTCCAATGATCATCGTTTCCAACGTGTGAACATTGCTTTGTCTCTTCTGGCATGTAACGCGCGCGAACCATTTTTGGACAGAATTGTCACCGGTGATGAAATATGGATTCTCTATGCGAATAATAAACGCCCAAAACAACGGCTCAGTCCTAGACAAAAAACCACATCCGACCCCAAAACCTGGACTTCATCCACAGAAAATGATGCTTTGCATTCGATGAGACATCAAAGGACTAATTCATTTCGAACTCCTCAATCCACAGCGAACTGTTAATGCAGAGATCTATAGTCAGCAACTAGAACGTTTAAATCAAGCCTTTTATCAGAAATGCCCTTCACTCGTCAATCGGAAAGATGTTCTTATTCTACACGACAATGCACATCCAGATGTGGCACATTTGACGCAACACAAGATTATGGAGTTGGGTTGGGAAGTTCTCCCCCACCCACCTTATTCTCCAGATATGGTACCATCAGATTACCATCTTTTTCGTTCGCTGGAACACCATCTTAATGTGAAAACGTATGCAAATGTGGAAGGTGTTAAAGCCAAGTGATTTCTTTAATCAGGGCATTAACAACCTGATTGTAAGATGGAAAAGCATCATCGATAAGAATGGAGACTATTTCATTTAATAAAAGTTTTGTTTTGATATATAAGGTGTTCGGTTTTTTCATCTAAAAAAAGCGACCTTAATTTCTTGACGACCTATTACTTTAACTTGTAATATCATGCAAAAACAATTTCGTACTTCCGAAAGTTCTTAGATTTAATTATAAAATTCAAGGCTAAAATTATAAAGCTAAAATTTTAATTTCAATACCCACGATGGGCAAAACGCCGATAGTTCATTGCGTAGCTTTGTGCTTAACACAAACAAACAAATTTATGAAAGTTACAATTCTCTTTCTTCCATGCAGGACCAGTACATTTATATACATGAATGTATAAACGATCTCATTGCTTACCAGTTAAAGGAGAAACGGACTTTTGGAAATGATAAGGGTAAGTTTTGAAGCCAATAAATAACAACCAATATATTAAAAGGAAAATATATATATGTATGTGTGTGTGTGTGTGTGTGGGAGTAATTTATTTTGTTGTACTGGATGTATCAATATGCCATGTAATGTGGAGTGATAAAAGCTTACAGTGGATAAATTATTAAATTGCATAATGTGTAATAAAAGATTAAGGTTGGATGAATTCTTACACCATGTACTATCCAATGAACAAATCATAAGCCAGGTGAATCCTTACTTCATATAATGTGTAATGAAAAAACCGTACCAAATGAAACGTTACACCAGTGACTAAGAAATCAATGAACAGTTTACAAAATAAAATCTAATTTGTTTTCAGTGATAAAATTGATGTAATAAATAATTGAAAAGACAAATAAAGATGAATGTTTAACTAGAAAACAAAAAATTACCGACTGACTTATAAAATGAATTTTTATAATGTTGGTATTTAATGCTTCTCGGGCAGTTTGGATCTGTAAACCCAGAAAATCTTAAATTTCAACTATAATAGTAGGAAATGAAGTACAAAAGAAGCTTGAATGGAAAAATCTTAAGATTTCGTATTACACCCAGCACTTCTTTATTCTCTTCTTTCATCACAAAATGTTGAAAATAAATCTAGCTTGTATAATATATAGAAAACACAAATATGTAAGTAGTCGACAATCTTAAGACTACTATGTATCGTTAACGGTTTTTTTAATAATTGAAACTTTTTGAGCATATATGATAAAAATTGAAATCGATACTAAATTCACATTGTTGCTAAATAAATATGTATTTTAATTATTATATTCCGGTCACCGACAGTAAGTTTATGGACTTACAACTCAAAAATCTGGGGTTGGTTCTCCACTATGGACGAGTCCATTCAGTCGATTTGGTCTAGAAACAGAAACAACAACTTTAATCATTAGAAGTCAACGTTCCAACAGAAGTATGCACCCTATCGTACACCTTATACTATTAGCAATGTTTTTGAACGCCTGACAGAAGCATTTAAGAATTAGGTATCCTTGTCAGAATTGTTCATTATCCAGCAGTTCTATGTAAAAATGATTTAATTTAAAAGTAGGTGGTTTAAACATTTGCATCATTACAAAACGTCGTTTATGATCCACGTGCCTAAAACGTCTTTAAGTATATGTTGGTAAAATGGGTCAAGGATTATATGCTGGAATCTAAGAATGCGTTAAAAAATATGAAATTAGATAACATTTCCTTATCAGATATCTTTATATTTACATACAAGCCACCAACTCAAGGCGACGACATGACTGCAGAATTACTAAAAACAGATCCCTGGGGTTAGTTGTTATTCAAATTTTAATAAAAACACATATTTTGATTTGTCTTCAAAATATATTCCAAAATAGTTTAACTATATTTCTATCTTAAATATTAACTTAAATTGGTGACATCAACACTGAAAACTTACACGGATAAGAATACCGGCTAAAAACTAGGAGTGTTATGTGGAGAAAACGTTTACTAGCCGTGGTTAAAAACAATATTGCTAAGCAAAATATAAAATTTCGCTACTGTATTTTATAAACTTCCATATTTTATAAAATATCTAACAACAGAGGTTAAGTAATGACCACATTCACACAGCAATGTTGACTTTGTTTCTGTATATGTAATACTAATGTTCAGTATAATACTCACTTTCCTAGTTGGTAGTCATACTCTAAACCTAGTTACTGACTTTAAAAGAAATACATGTATAAGGCAGCATTGGAATATCTACATTACCTCTTTTTTTTCTTCTTCTATGGTTTATGCTGTTTTTTGTGGCATTTCAGACTCTGAAGAACTTTACTCCAATGTAATCTACGGGTGTGAATCGAGGCAGTAAGTAAACACTTATGTGCAGTGAAATCACTTTGCAATATTCGGTGCTCAATTCTAGTCATCATATTTGACCTCAGCGGATGGTACAATAGCTTCACCAAAAGAAAAAGAAACAACTAAGTGGTGTTGTGTGTGTGTTTTTTCTATAATAAAATGTGATAAAACGGGATTGAACTAACTAGAAAATAACTGTTGAATTTTAAATTAGATTTTTAACTCTAAGAAACCTCAATGATCATAAATGCAGTTTATGTTATGGAAGAGTTATGCCACAATGTGAACATAGATTTGGGACAAGCATCAAACTGAAATTCATGCCAAGAAGCGACGCTCGTGCTTCAGTATAAAGCTATGTGAACATCTATGACACAAGAAGGTTTACACTACTATGGGAAAGGCTATAACGCAAGGAGGTTATTTTACCGTGTGAAAAGCTGTGACGCAAAAAGCTTACATTATAGTGTGAAAATCTATAACGCAAGAAGATTATGCTACAACGTGATGAAGAATAAGAAAACAATGCTACAATATGAAATATATTACGAAAGAAGATAATGCTACAATATCTGTTACATAAGAAGGTAATACTAGAATATGAAATAATTTAAATAAGAACATTATGCTATAAAGTAAAAATTATAATTGACAACCTAACGAAGTGTAAAGAAGATCATGAAAGCCATGCCACAACATGTAATTATAACGTGAAAGCTGTGACGAAAGAAGGTTATGCTACAAATGTGCACGGATCTAAGTGGATTATGATAAAGTAAAAACAACTATTCATTCAGTTTCGAAGCTTCTATATTCTTATATTCAAAAATATAGTAGGAAAGAAACTTCTAAATTCCATCTTTATATTTTTTGAAATCTATAGAATAAGCAATAAATTTTAGTATGTCATGCTAATTATTTTGATATGTCATCAATTATTAATTACATTTAAGTAATTAATTATCCTTACTAGACAAATATCATTTGGAATATTATATTACAATGATTGCATATTTAATACTTTTGATGAAAATAGTTACTTTTATGAAATTGTTTTAAATGTGCTTTCGGAGCTGCATGAATATCACCTAGGTTAAACTATACATACATTTCAAAATAAAATTATCTGTTGGTGAGATATAGATTTGAAAATTTTTAATTTTAGAGTTTTTGTTTGCAGTGGCTATGATATAACCTATTGTTGAGGTATAAATTAAATTTGAGGCAACAAGCATATGGCACATTTGTTATTGCAGAAAGTGTTACCTTATGTCGTTTGTTATTAGTCGTCTTTACTGAGTGTTATATTATGGCATGTTGTGTGGTAATTTTCACTGAAGGTACTTTATTATGACATTTTATGTTGACCGTTACGTTTTATATACCTTACGGTAGTGATACTTTTGGCCAGTTTGTTTCCAAATATTATGAATTTAGTTCTGTGTTTTGCACATCAACCAAAAATGGGATTTTTAAAAGACAGTATATGAGAATATTTCCAATCTACTAAAACTGTAAAAATTGTATCATTGTTTATTTTACGCCCAACTTGTTCCTCGGCTTGGCAGAAAAAGATTTAATAACGAGTTTTGAAATTTAAATTATTGGTGTTAGCAATAATTTACAATATTTATATTTGAAGTAAAATGCTTATTTTAAAATGGGGTGAAATTGTAAGATATATAATCTTTTTAAATTGAATAACGAGCTTTTAGTGATATAGTGGAGTATTTATACAGTTAGATTAAATGTGTGATTAAAACCCGTTTAATAATAAAGATTATTTATACTTAAAGGTTTCGTCAGTCATGTGTATGATAATACTTTCAAGCAGTCTTTCTTTAAGGTTTAAGTTATTTTTTACCGCTGCCGTACACCTTAGTTGAACCAAACTGCAGTATGAAAACCTTTATATTTTTTAACTCTTTCTGAAATTTTGTAAAAACATGTGGTTAGTCCTACTTGATTGTTTGTGTGATTGTTTTGAATTTCGCGCAAAGCTACACGAGGGCTGTCTGCGCTAGCTGTCCCTAATTTAGCAGAGAAAGACTAAAGTCATCACCACCCACCACCAACTCTTGGGCTACTCTTTACCAACGAATAGTGGGATTGACCGTCACATATAACGCCCCCACGGCTGAAAGGGCGAGCATATTTGGTGGACGGGGATTCGAACGCACGACTCTCAGATTGTGAGTCAAGCGCCCTAACCACTTGGCCATGCCGGAACACGTCTTACTTGAAGCTGTTCGAACAAACCATTCTGAACTCTATAATATACAATTATCTTTGCCATAAGTTTTAATTTACAATTCTGCAACTTTAGAGTTAAATATAATATAACTGTAATTTAAGGTTGCCGATAAACCCGAATAAAGTGTCGGAGAATGATTTGATATTTTTAGTTATTCGTGAAAATAATGATGGTATTTATACGTGGTTTTTATACGTGCATAAATTTTTTCATTGTCTTAGTGAATCATGTATTATAATGACGTTCTGCGTTGCAAATACGAATATATAAATGTCATTCGGTACATAGACGTTTTAATTCAACTTAAAAGAAAGTTCATAAGTCGAGGGTACATTTTTGTGGTTTCTAATCAATGTACATAACATATTTTATTTAATTCCTTGAATTGGTATATCAAAATTGCAGTTAACGCCTCAAAAATAAATAGCAACGTTCGTGCTTTAGCTGTTCTCGCTTGCACAAAATCAGAATTTTATTATTAATAAACAGAAGGACAACAATACATTCTTAATGCTGGATTTTCTGTTTGTCGTTTTAGGTCTAAGTGTTCATTCGAGAAAAAAATAAACGACATTGTGAATTAAAATCATTTTATAAAAATAGATTATATTTGTCTAGTTTAAATATTTAAACCTTTTATTCCAGGGTAAGAAAATGTAAGAAAAATATGCCTGGTTTTAAAACTACATTTTACTGCTGTACTTTATGACTTCAGAAGGAAAGAAACTGATTAATGTTTAGTGAACGAGTAAAAAAAACATGTACATGTACTGAACGATTATTGACATGCGCAACGTTAGTTTTAGTACTTCTGGCTATGATTATCGTTTTCCATAAATTCTGTTGATAGAAGCGTATCTTAACGTGCAAAACTGGTCAACTATACCATAGTAAACATACACGTGGGTGTTTTCAAGAGTGAAAAAATTTAATATAAGTAAAAACTATCGAATGTGACCTTCTGATCTAACATAAAACTCTCCAACAGCAGTTTATCGAATTGATAGAATAAACATTTTTTGAGTTGTTAAATGAAAATACAAAGATACGCGGGTGCTACTATAGCGTGCTGTCTACAAAGATATTTACGCTATAGCGTGCGGTCTAAATAGACCGCACAGTATAGTAGCACCGATACGCGTTTCCTTTCCAACCATACAAAGTTAGAAATATTATGGATATGTGCATTTATTTACATTACTTCTTTAATTTCATGTAAGCCTCTTCGTATATCTTATTCATTTTCTTGAAGGTTATCATGCAAAATTATGCTAATCTTATGAGCCTAACATTTTTAACTTCTAATTTGTGTTTTCTCATGCCTAGCACTTTTTTGGCACTTAACGACCAATTGAGCTTCAGTCATCATTTTACTCGCCTGCAAAAAAATTCAAACTTATTCAAATTTCACCTACAGACTCAGTTACTTTAAAATATTTGCTACTTTGATTGTACATTATTAAATTTAACATATGAACAAAAAACTCAGTAAACTCATTTTTACAAGTCAACATGATTCAGTTTTTTAAATTTAAAAAAAAATGGGAAAAAAATTAAAAGAAGCTATTTTTGTCAGTGCCAGATTAAATAATTTTGGGTTTGCACTATGGAAAAATTTGCCTGTCCGTCTTTAAGCTAGGCAGATCATGTGATATATAGACAGCCTGTAAATAGAGGCTTACGACACTAAAAATCGGGTTTCGGTACCCATGGTGGGAAGAGAGCATAGATAGCCCATCGTGTAGCTTTGCGCTTAACAACAACTAAGCCAAACCTATAATTTAAGGTAAAAAATTTTGGGCATTGTAAAACATACATGAGTGAATAGTGTTTATGTGCATTATTTATTTAGGCCATTTGTAATTGTGATACACAGCTATTTCTGGAATCTCTTTGAAGTACATTTTCTCAGTGGTTGGGGCTCCCTTCTGATCTGGGGACCTTGTGCAAGTGCATCGAGTGTACATTGGTCTGACTGTTGTGATAAATCTTTTTTACAGCTCTAAGATGTTATCATGAAAAATTACTAGTCTTATGTGCCTAATATTTTTAACCTCTAAGTTATTTTCCATCATGTTTGGCACTAATTTGGCTCTTGAATTGTGGATATGTCATCAGTTCTTTAACTCTTGTTGATTCTTATACATGACTAGTTGTTAACACTTTTTTTTCGTTAGAACAAAACGGAAACATTTCCACGATTCTGTAAAATGATACAATAACCGTATGAAACGGAAAGGAGAATAAATCTCGCTCTTCTCTTCGGTTATAACGACACAAATCAAAACTGAATACTTATAATTATGTACACATCATGAAAGTGAAGCAAAAATTAAGTCAGAAAAAAATTATAACAGGACAGTTGAAGTTTTGACAAAAAGATCCCCAATAAGAGCACGGTAAGGATTTTGTATGAAACGTATATGATGTATCCTCATTTAAAATTTGGGCCCTAAATGTAGGCGTGCTTTTGTTTATGAAACTGAGGGTCCTTTGTCACAAAAAATTGCTTCGCACTTAGGGTCGTAGGTGCGCATAAGAGGGACACTCAAATCCTACTGTTCAGTTAGATAAGAGTTGACGATGGCTACTGGTGACTAGTTTGTTTCCCTCTAGTCTGTCACTTCAGAATTAAAGACGATTATGCGCAGACATCCCTTTGTGTAGCTTTACGAGAAAATTCCCTCGAAATTTGTAATACCTGATGATTTGAAATTACACAAATACAGTGCCTTGCAAAAGTATTTACCCCCCCCTACAAAGTTTCCAAATTTTGTTGTTGTCTGAGCATGCAGTCATGAAACTTTCAAATGGGACATTATGTTTAGAATCTACACAATCTACTCCAAACTGAGAAAGGTAAAAACGCTGATATTATGTAAGTAAGTTAGATTTTCAAAGAAAATTTGAATATTCTCTATTGTATAAGTATTTAACCCCTTTGCTACGGCAAGATTAGTTTAGCCGTAATCAGTTCAGGTACAAAAGATTAGTTTGAAAGGTCACAGAATTAATGTAAAGGTCTCTGTCTGTGTGTAATCAAAGTGGTTTAACTTGACTTCAGAGTAAACACATCTGTTCAAGCCACAACTCACACAATGATACGACAAACCAGCCACGAAGACCAAGGAGCTTTCCAAACAGATCATGGATAAAGTGATAGAGAAGCATTGATCAGGAGAAGGATACATGAAATCTATCCACGATAGAACTGGATTCCATTAAGAAGTGGAATGTGCTTCATACCAACCATTCACTACCCAGATCAGGCCGCCCTTCCAAATGAATCAGTCAGACAAGTAGGAAACTGGTTAGGGATGCCTCTGTGAAGCCAACAGTGACTTGGAAAGATTTGCAAAGTTCCGTCTCTGAGATGGGAGTCAGTGTTCATACATCTACAATATCCCGGTTCCTACACAAAGCTAGCCTGTATGAGTGAGTGACAAGAAAGAAGCCATTGTTAAAAAAGAATAATCTTAAACATAGTATGGAGCTTGCGACAAACCATGTAAATGATACTGCAAGCATGTGGCAAAAGGTTTTGGGGTCAGACGAGACTAAATTTGAGCTTTTTTGGCCTAAATTCAAAGCGTTACCTCTAACACAAGCCCAACACAGTACATCACCCAGTCAACACCATCCCAACTGTCAAGCATGATGGTCGCAGCATCATATTATGGAGATGATGCTCATCAACAGGGACTGGGAATCTTGTAAGCGTTAAGGGGAAGATGGATGGTGCAAAGTACAGACGAATCCAAGAGGAAAATCTGCTTGAATCAGCCAAGAATCTAAAACTGGCTCGAAAATTCACATGTCAGCAGGACAATAACCCGAAGAACAAGGCCAAAACCACACTAGAGTTGTTTCAAAAGAGGAAAATGAATGTCCTGGAGTGATTCAGTCAAAGTCCTGATTTGAATCCAATAAAAAAATTATGGCGAGACTTGAAGATTGCAGTCAATCAACGATTCCCAACGAACTTGTCAGAACTGGAGCAAAAATCACACCATCCTATTGTGCAAAACTTGTAAAGAGATATCCATAAAGACTCACAGCAATAATTACTGCCAAAGGTACTTCCACCAATCATCAGCAAATTTCAATACATATATATATATTATTTGCGGGTTTCGCTGACATTCAAGCTCATTCACATATAACAGTGTTAAGTTTGGTCATTAGAGTTTTGAATCAAAACAAGTTCATTAATTTTTTTTATGTTCTTTGTATTTCATCAAAATGTGACATTATTGGCAGGGGTGAATACTTTTGGAAGGTACTGTATATCTAACGATAATGTGAAACATTAGTGTATAATTTTTTAATTGCTAAAACGACATATTTGTTTTGATTTGATTTTATGCATTAATTCATTTGTGTTAAATAAAAACGTTAATGTTTTCTCAATTTATATAAAACCTACTTTATTTATTAGATCAACTTTTTCTGCACACACAAGATTATGAAAATAGTAATTTAACACACACTTATTTACACAATATTAAATAAGTTCTTGTGAATTTCAAGATCGCATGAAATAAACGCCTATTAATATTGCTACGCAGATAAAACCTTATCATATCATTAACAAACATGTATGCTGTATTTATATACTTTTTGTAAACTTACCATAGAGTGTTTCTATTTGTTTTGTTTTTTTAATAATGAAAATATTTGTTACAAAATATTATTACAGTAACAGCAATAACATTAACGTCATTTAATTGAAAAATTATGGCAACAGTAATTCGTATGAATGTCCAGCCTCCCAATTTCAAAGTATATTACGAAAACTAGAACATTTCTCCACGTAAATAACTTTTATATGTCCGCGACCTTTCAACCCTTCGCGGGACTATTGTTAATGAACTTTGGAATCTCCTACTCACTAACATTATTCCCTGGCAAAGCAAATGATATAAATTCGTAGAAATAACACACAATCATGCACACATATACACAGTATTGGAAATGATTTTGGAAAGAGTGAATAAAATTAAAAAATTAAGCTGCACAAGAGTACAGTTACATGTTGATAGTTTACACTGTGATTGGCTCACCAATCAGACAGTTCCACACCAGTACATTACCTATAAAAGTGCAGGCAGCATTGAATTGAATACAATCATCGCTCCCAGAACAGAAATCCCACTTGACAAACGCATAGAAATCAATTTTCTAGCTGATAAAGGCTTCTTCATACCACAGATAGAGATGAAATTATATGTTTCAGCAGGAGATCTGCGGAAACTGGGTAAAGAGAACGTGAAATTAGTTCTGTTAATAACAAAAGCTATTGATGCTAAAAGCCAAAACTTTTCAAAGTAACTTAGAGTATGCTAATTATCGGATACACGACAATCCGACAGCTATCTTGCCAATGATCTAGCTATAAGTAAAGGAATTAATGTTTCTTCCATAATGGTAAGATAAACATTTGGACGAAGTGGCCTCATTAAATGTATACTGCTCCAAAACTACTGCTTAAGAAAGATAACCAAACCAAAAGGATGAAAGAGATATAAAGCTACAAACAGTAGGATGAGCAAAGCTGGAAGAGGGTGCTTTTTACTGGTAAATCCAAATTTAAATTGTATGACAACAACCAACGATAGTTTGTTCGATAACAGAGAGGATCATGATCATCGTACAACATCTAAAGTGAAGCCTACTTGGGGAGGAGGAAAGTGTGGGTTGCACTTCATTCAATAGTTTTGAGACCTACAAAAAACTGATGTAAACGTTATTGTTGAAAAGTACAAATTCATCTTATTGCCTCAGAAACAAGAGTTGTTGGGCAGGGATTAATCTTCCAGCAACAAGGTGATCCCAAGTAGTCAGCACATGTGGTGAAACGATATTCGTATGAGAGAAGGTGCTGATAGAACCTTCGAAGCCACGGCTTTGCCTGAACAAAACCTCGATATTAAGCATGTATGGGTTTGTATGGAAACTGAGGCGGTCAACAGGCAATCAGACAATTTGGCTGTATTTAGGAAGTAATACAGGACACTTTGAACAATATTTAATAATAATACATTGACATGGATTAACTTATGGTGACATAAAAACAAGGTATACTACTATTTTAAAGCAAATACAAAATACCAGTGCATTGCTAAACTTATTCGATTTTCTTTTGTTTTCTGTTATAATGTATTGTAATTTTGATAATTTAACACTTTAATTCCAATTGCTCATTGTTTGTAACTTCTTTAGGCGTATTATATGTATTTCCATAAGTATTTCTAATGCAGCATAAATTGAATTAAAGTTCTAAGTGTTTTAAAGCAAAAATATTTCAACGTCATGAGTCTTAAATCGTATTTAAGATTTAAATATGTCACACATTGTTCCTGATCTAAGTTTAATAGTCTAGTTTTTTAATCATTTATTTTGCCATATCTTCCGATATAATATACGTCATTAAGTGAACAAAGTTTTATTGTTTTGTTTTAGCACATAAAAAATACCTATTTTACAGGTAATGTATGTTTGGGACAGGGTTATTTACCTCTGCAGTGGAGTATTTTTTATTTTATTAATCTTAAAATAATTGAGCTTATTTCCAATTAAATTGTATTAACAGCATAAAAACACAATCAAAGAACTTGTTGTTATTCATTCTATAGGGCTTAGATCAGGGCATATTTATTTACGTCTTCATAAATAGTCCAACAAAATCCATATATTGTGACATCAAATATTGTCCTGCACCAGGGCAACGTGTGCTCCGTTATAACCAGAAAAGGTAATAAAACTGAGTCCAATACAACGTTTGTATATCGTTAAGATCCCCGGAATCACAATATGACATTTATGTATATTCATATCAATATATCCACACACAATAGTCAAGCCACCCAAAATGGTCATATTCAAAGAAATTTTCCTTATTGTTTCGTTCACCACTGGCTTTACCTACAAACCGACCCATATTTTATTAGTAGAGTCGTGAGGCCTTGGCTTGCTAATTAAAAAAAAAGGACCCACTTCTGTGTGGTCAACTACAGAGCTGGAGCAGGTCTTCTTGGAACCACGAAATCTATTTTTTACCGTCTGATGACTGATAATTTATCCACTGAAGTCAATATGGAAATAATAATGATAAAAATTCAAGCTGTCATCGAATCAGTATGTGATCGAATTTGAAGACAAAACGGAATATTATTTTTCTAAAGTGGTAGGTAGCACGTGTAAAAAAGTCTCCATTGTGCGTTCTTAGAACAAAGCACATGAAACGAACACATAAGTAATAAAATATAAAGATAGGGGATTTCGTTCAGATGTAATTTTAAATAATGTATCAAATCTTTGTTCTGTTTAAGTTTTTTTTTGATACAGCTTGTACATGTATGTTATCTTAGCCTTGAAAATCCTTCCATGCGAGTAGTAATAATTGTACAGGCTCTCATGAAGACGTCATCATGCTATTTAAATGATAAAGATCTCACATCGGCTCTCACGGTTAACATTGTTGATTCTTGGTTCTCACTACAGATACGAAATTCTCTCATTTCGACGTAGTTTGCATGGCTTGGTACGAAAGATCATATTATCAAAATAAAACGAGAATTTTCGATAAAAACTGTGAAAATTACACATTTTTATTCTCATCATACTTGTAATATTTTATGATATTCTAGTTCGATTATTGGGAAAATACAACATCGACATTATATGATCATACATAACTATACCATACAGAAGGTTGTCTGATTCAAATTAGAACAATTTTGAATACGTAAATCAATATCGCACGTAACAAACAGATCCGATATAAAGTTGCGTATCAGAACTACATTTTGATATTTTTTCAGCGTTTCGTAAGTAGTGTGATACTACTGAAAATTGGTAAAGATGTGTTTATTTTGGTTATATACGCTGTACTTAATGGTTTTGGATTATTTGTTTCTTTTGAATTTCGCGCAAAGCTACACGAGGGCTATCTGAACTAGCCGTCCGTAGTTTAGGAGTGAAAGACTAAAAAGAAAGCAGCAAGTCATCTAGGGCTACTCTTTTAACAACGAATAGTAGGATTGACCGTCACATTATAACGCCTCACCGCTGAAAGGGCGAGCATATTTGGTGAGACGAGGATTCGAACCCGCGACCCGCCGATTGCGAGTCGAGCGCCCTAACCACCTGGCCATGCCAGGCCGAAATGGTTTTGGAAAACAAAGAAATATGGATCAGCTTTGGACGCCAGGACCATCCAGAAGGAGTCCTGCATCATGGCATACCCCAGCCGTGGTAAGAAAAAATATGGCATCTTGTATTTGTTCGTTTGTATTTATGCACAAAGCTACACAATGGGCTATTTGTGCTCTACCCACCACGGGTATCGAAACCCGGTTTCTAGCGTTGTAAGTCCGCAGACATACCGCTGTGCCACTGGGGGGGGGGCAGGCATCTTGTAACAGACGAAAATTCACAAACACAAAGGTCAGTGGCAATAGCCTTCCACGTGTCTGAGGCAACAGTACACAACATAATCACTAAGGGCCTCCGTCTGAAAACGAGGCCAATGAGGTATGGGTTCACCAAGATAAGGTCTCCTGTCATATCTCAAGTTCAACCATAGCATTGCTCAAGATGCTGGAAAATGAAACGGATATTCATGCTATTTCATACAAAGACACTCTGATCAGACGACCTATGGATTTCTGTGCGATCAAACTGTTTAAACAGACAAGACGTGCAGACATGGATTATAGCGAAGTGCTGATGCTATAAAATCGTTTTAATATAAAGTACTCAACCTCAGAAACAAAATAGTATAAAGTTATTCAATAGAATAAGATAGATGGTTTTCTTGGACACTTAAACACAGATGAAGTGATTTAAAAAAACCGAAAAAGTTTATGATGTATTAATGCACGTGAAATGTTTTTCGAAATACTTCCTTAAAAAATGACATAGAAAATTCTAATTATGCTAAGAATCACAAATAAAACAAAGTAGACCATACTAGAGTTTATAAAGAAGATCAATAGTACTTGAAATAGTCACGTGCCTCCTACGTGCTTATCATTAATTTCACTTTTATACTGAAATCGCCAATTTAATCTAAGAACAATTTAAAAGGTTTGTTTGTTTGTTTGTTTGAAATTGAGCACAAAGCTACACAAAGGGCTATCTGTGCTCTGCCCACCACGGGTATCGAAACCCGGATTCTAGCGTTGTAAGTCCGCAGACATACCGCTGTGCTACTGGGGGGCTATTTAAAAGGTAATGTTTAAAGCATATTTGTCCAAGTGTTGTGGGAAAAAACCCTCTAAAGCAGAACTTTATTCTTTAATGTGCATAAAATAATATATAATTTCTTCAATTTCTACATCAATATTTAGAAAACCATTATGATATTCTACAGAATA